CTTTTGTTTTTTGGATTTTGTTGTTTGATTGTGATGAAAAATTGATTGATGAAGATGAAGAAGGCAAGGCAAGGCAATCGTTGGGTTACTGCAAGTGCTGGGTTCGACGTTAGGTTCGATTTCGAACCCAGCAGCCGCTAGGTCAAACCCAGCAGCTGCTAGGTTTTTGCAAGTGTTGGGTTCGAAATCGAACCCAGCAAGCGGTGGGTTTCATTTCAAACCCAACAGTTGCTGGGTCGGTGGAACCCAACGGCTGCTACCCAACGGTTGCTAGGTTTGAGCAGCCGTTGGGTTCCTGTAAGTGAGGCTTTGGGTTCCGTTTCAAGCCCAGTAGCTGTTGGGTCAAGGATCCATTGAGTTTAATCTATTGATTTGTTGTGTTCTCCTCAAATTTAATATTAGGAGTTAGGGTTTGCAGAAGGTGAAACGAAAGGGAAAGGAAGAAGAAAGGGAAAAAGGAAAAACAAATGAAGAAAAAAAAAGGAAAAAGAAATTTTTTAAGGTTTTTTTTTTTTTGCCATCTCATTTTTTTACCACGCTGTATATCCTAGGTGTCAAAATGCCTTTACATGTCATCATTTTCCCGTCAAGTAACGGGACATGTAGGTTGTATTTAACGAAAGGACCAAATCGGGGTAAAAATGATAAACAGCAAGGACTAAATCAAGGATTTTTTTAGTTCAGGGACCAAAATGGGGTTTTAACCAAAAATCAATCATACTGCAAACTTATACCAAATTTGTAAAAGAAAAGGAAAATGCAAAAAACACATCCCTTCAATCAACACCAATAGTAGCTAGATCTTGAAATTCAAGCAAGCAGAAGCCACACAAAACTCTAAATCCCATACCAAGATAGCGAAGCATGACTGCAGCCAACAAAGAAATAGAAGAAAAAAAGAAGAAAAAGAAGAAAATGAGAACCAATGAGAAAAAGTCATGGGATTCTTTCAAAAATACCGAGAAAAGGAGGGAAACTACTTGTAGATCTAGATCCTTGCTCAACCTTTTGTGTTTTTACAACAAAATCTAGCACAAGCGAAGAGGAATTGTCGATGGAAAGGCTGAGTTCCTCATGTGATGGCGATAACGAGGTGGGTTGCTCTTGCGACAACAGTGAAAAGGCCATAGGTTCCTTCGATGAAAAGGCTAGGAGAAAGGAGGAAGAATGCCATTACCATCATTGTCGATGCTGGAGACCTTCTACTTATCATCTCCTACTGTTCATCTTCTCTAAATCTTCTTCTTAACCAGTCACAGAAGAACACAATCAACTCACAAAATCCCATTTGGACAACAAAATGCCACGGTGGTTAAATTATTTTTCACATAATTAAAGATTCAAAATAAAAATTGATTTCGTAGTAACTTAACGTGCCATCTGGCACTTCCGTTGATGAAAGGATCAAATTGGTCCCAAAAATTGAAGTTTAGGGATAGTTTTAGTACTTTTTGAAGTTTAAGGGTAGATTTAGTTAAAAAATGAAAGTTGAGGGACCAAATCGGTATTTAACCAAACATATATCACATTGAAAATTGGCAAAAAACCTACTTTTAGCCCCTTACCTTATACTATGACATTTTTAATCCCTCATTTATTGTTTTAAGGCCCAGCACTTGGCCCGGCCCAGTCGGTTGAACCGATTCAACTAGACCTCAGCTTGAAAATGGGCCAAATACAACCTACTGCCCATTTGAGCAATTGACCCACTCCAACCTGTCTGGCTTGCTCCACCCATTTGGCCCGTTCCACCCGATCAACCCATTGGGCTACACTTCAATTAATCCATTTGCAAGGCAATATACCCATTTTATCCTACCTTTTTAATATTATTGCATAAAAAACCTTAAACTTCAATTAAGATTAGATAAAAAAAAAAAAAACCCTAATAGAAGGCCAAAACTGGAAAACAGAAAAAAACTATACTCAACAAACAAACACTACAGAAAATAGAAAGAAGAAGAAAGTTCAAGAACAAATAGATCCTCCTTCCTCCACCAAGTCATCGACCTCCTACTCTCAACCACCATTGCTGGCAGCCCTTTGGACAACCTTTGTGGCTCATCTTCCTTGGCTTCCTCCACCGAACAACAACAGCACTTCTTCATTAAACAGAACAGCAACAAGAACAGAGTAGCAGCAGGAACAGATCTACATCTGCTCTCAACCACCACCGTCAGCAGCCCCTTACATCCCTTCGTGGATCATCATCCTTGGCTTCCTCTACCGAACATAGCAGTAGTAGGAACAAAGCCACAGCGACAGAACAAATCTACATCTACTCTCAACCACCACCGTCAGTAGCGCCTTCCATCCCTTCACAGCTTATCTTCCTTGCCTTTTTCCACTGAACAACAGTAGCTTCTCTTTCACCAAACAGAGCAACTGCACCAAACGGAGCAGCAACACCGAACATAGCAAAATCTGCTGCTCACCTTCCTCACCTTCCTAGTTGGCAGAAACAATCGGTTCAATTTTATAGAACAGATCCTCTTCTTCACAACAGAACAGAGAGCATTTGTTTCCTAGTGGGTAAGAATTTCAATTTTATTTATCTTGAATTTAATTCTCAAATTTACATGTTTTTTATATGATTGTTAATTGTTTATATGAATTAATTTTTTGTTAATCCATATATTTGTAAGACTTGGAAAAGTATATATATGTAATGCATTAATGTTGTGATACTCAAATCAATATATATGATTGCTATGGTGCTTGTATTTTAATATGTATTTTAATATTTGTTAGTTTTTATATCTTAAAAATTATATGTATGTAATTAAATTTATTATTTTAAATGACATAAATGATGATTTTTAAGTTAATCTTATGATACCTATTTTTAAAGAATAAAATGAAAGTAATATACAACAAAATAAAATGAAAGCAATATACAATAGTAAAATCTAATTAATATAAAATTTTATTAGTTCTGTTAGTTCACTGTTAACTGTCAAAAACTTTCTCTCAGTTAACAGAGTTAACAGAACTAACTTTATAATATTTTTTTAATTTTGTTAATTGGTTATTAGTTGATGTTAGTTGATAAAAATCTACTTTTAACTAAAAGAGTTAACAAAACTAACTTTATAATATTTCTTTAATTCTGTTAATTGGCTATTAGTTGATGTTAGTTGATAAAAATCTACTTTCAACTAACAGAGTTAACAGTTAGTATAAAATGAGAGTTATTTTCTCGATTTTAATAGGTGATGGGTTAAAACTTACAAATCTAGTAATGTGAAGGCAGTGTTTTTGGGCCCAACCTAGTGGTTGACTCGGTTTGGCCATTAGGTCTAATTAAACCGATTGAACCAATTCACCCAACCAATCCAATTGATCAACTAAAAAAATAGTTTTTTTGGTTAAATACCCTTTTTGGTCCCTCTACTATAAGAAAAAGCTCCTTTTTGGTCCCTGTACCGAAAAAATCCCTTTTTTGATCCCTAAATTTTAAAATCCGGCCCCTTTTTAGTCCCTCTGTCAAATTTTGCTCGCGTGGCACGTTAACTTAACTGGAACAGCTGACGTGGGTATGCCAACATGTAACAAATGCTTACGTGGACTTCTGACACCTGCCACGTCACTTGCCACGTCACTCACCACGTCACTCTCCCACGCGCGAAAATGAAAAAAATTGGAGGGGAGAGTGACGTGGCGAGTGATGTGGCAGGTGTCAGAAGTCCACGTAAGCATTTTTTACATGTTGACATACCCACGTCAGCTGTTCCAGTTAAGTTAACGTGCCACGAGAGCAAAATTTGATGGAGAGACTAAAAAGGGGCCGGATTTTAAAATTTAGGGATCAAAAAAGGGATTTTTTTGTTACAGGGACCAAAAAGGGGCTTTTTCTTATAGTAGAGGGACCAAAAATGGTATTTAACCAAAAAAAACTGTTTTTTTAGTTGATCAATTGGATTGGTTGGGTGAATTGGTTCAATCGGTTTAATTAGACCTAATGGCCAAACCGAGTCAACCACCGGGCTGGGCCCAAAAACACTGCCTTCACATTACTAGATTTGTAAGTTTTAACCCATTACCTATTAAAATCGAAGAAAATAACTCTCATTTTATACTAACTGTTAACTCTGTTAGTTGAAAGTAGATTTTTATCAACTAACATCAACTAATAACCAATTAACAGAATTAAAGAAATATTATAAAGTTAGTTCTGTTAACTCTTTTAGTTAAAAGTAGATTTTTATCAACTAACATCAACTAATAACCAATTAACAAAATTAAAAAAATATTATAAAATTAGTTCTGTTAACTCTGTTAACTGAGAGAAGGTTTTTGACAATTAACAGTGAACTAACAGAACTAATAAAATTTTATAAAGTGAAGATTATTTTCTTCAATTTTAATAGGTGAAGGACTAAAAGTGTCATAATATAAGATAAGGGGTTAAAACTTACAAATCTAGTAAAGTAAGGGGCTAAATGTCATAAAGGCTAAAACCTTCAAACTTGACAAGGTGAGGGGTTCAAAGTAGGTTTTGCCCTGAAAATTTGCAATCTCCTCTTTTCTCTGTACTCTCCGCGATCGGATCGTTTTTTCTTCCGGCTTACTATCACCGATCATCACCATCCTCCGTTGCTCTCACCGGAAAACTCTCTTCCATCTCAGGCAGCCGCACTTGACCGCCGCAGACTCTCTGCAACTCAAGCCACAACCACCAGAGGGGATTCTCCCCTGAACTCGAGCCGCCAGAGAAAACGAAGAGATAACCGGAGAATCGTAATCGCCGGAAAGAAAGAGAAGTGGAGAGAGCCAGAGAGCAGAAATCTGGGACCGAAGAGTACACGCATGAAAGGTATGACTTTTCTTGTGCACGGATGGAAATCTCGAACTAGTAATTCTTAGGGATTTGAAGATGATTTTTGAATAGAAAATCAAGCTTGAGAAATGCAGTTTAATTCTAAGATAAGGATTACCCATTGTGCGGAATTGTGTTCTTTAGGCAAGCTCTTGGCTTTATTGTTCATTATTTAATCATTGACATTGTGGTTCTCAGGTACTTTCGCTAGGTTGCAACTAACAAGTGTATGGCATATTGGAAGTAAACCAGTACCCAGAAAAGAAAATAGAATATCTGTTCTGTTTCTTCTCAAGTCGCTTGGTTGGGAGTATTGTTTTGTGAGTTAACAAACTAAGGTTGAACAAGTAAGAGCAGCAGCAGAAACAGAATGAACAAAGGAGTGGGAAGTGGAGTGGGGAGTGGGCCAACAGCAGCTGCTGCAGCGGCAGCAGCTCAGAAGCAGAAGACAATGATGCAAAAGATGGAAACAGACATTGGCAATATTGTTGAAAATTTTACCCAGCTTGTCAATGTTGCTGGGGTATGCTCAAAAGATGAATTGTCCCAGCTGTCCAGTGGCCGTCAGGTATGCTCTCCGACTTTAGCATTTCCATTGTTTCCTTTTGTTGTAACTACTTCACATGCCATTCTGTTTATCCAAATTGCCTCCTAATGTTGCATGTTTACTCTTTTCTTGTGTGTTTGTGTTTGACCATTGGTGTATTACATACGGGAACTATGTTTTCATACAGGCAATCAGGCAGGCAATGTAAGTGAGACATTAAGATCACGGACCTAATTCTGACTGCTATAGAAAATAATTGTATTGATTGCACTAATTAGTAGTTATGAACCAATTGGTTTCTTAAAGCTTCGAGCCTACATCAACCTAAATTATAGTTCACTACTGCAAAAGAGCAGCTGTGATCATATTTAGTTGCATGTTGCTACATACTGCGTAGTCCTGTTCACTGCAGCAACAATACCTCTCTTTTTCACTTTCCATATTCCATCCTCTAAGATTTGATAAATCCTGAGTTCTCTATATTTCTCAAAGCGTTTCTTATTAAAGAAAAGCCTCTATTTCCCAATTACATTAAAGATCCATATCTCAAAAAAGCATATTGATAGTTGAGAATATTTGTTGATTTAGCATCAAATGGAAGGAGCTTATGAAGAGTAATCACTGACTGATGACTGTATTTTGAAATCTCTGGAATTTATGTTTGATGTAATATTCGTTCGCAATACTTCATTCCAGCTGAATGATCTACCAGTTCGAAATTCACAAGAGGCTTTCATGATGGAGATGCGAGCAGCCAGAATGGTGAGAACAATATTATTATTTATCCATTTATCATTATTGTAGTTTGCATTACCATCTATTGAAATCTTGGGATTTATCAGGGAAGAACAGAAATGACATTTTTATTTGACTTTCCAAAAGTGGAAAAGGGAAATATAAAAAATGAAAGTGGTAGACAATTGTTAATTTGACATTCTTACACCTAATTTGTGGTGTCATTTGTTCTATTGGGTCATTGTTCTCTAACAAATTAATGGACCACAGGTTCAGGCTGCCGATTCTCTACTTAAATTGGTGTCAGAGCTGAAGCAGACTGCAATATTTTCAGGATTTGCAACTCTTAATGACCATGTAGAGCACAGAACAGCTGAGTTTAATCGACAAGCAGAAAAAACAGACCGAATGTTGGCCAGGATAGGAGAGGAGGCTGCTGCGAGTCTCAAGGAGCTTGAATCTCACTACTACTCTTCAGCACAGAGGACATCTCGGTCACTGTGAGCCATAGAAGGGAGACGTTTAATGTTTTGAAATGAGATCTAGTTTTTCTATAACTGAAAACAGCTACATATCCAAAATCTGAAAACTCAAATTTCACAGTTATCTAGAGATGATGTTTTAACTTTTATCTAGGCACTCTTTCTCCTTGTTTGTAATGTCTGATACAGAATTGTTGACGTTGCTTGGCTAGCATCTTCATTGAGGGAGTAAGTTTGCAGGGTATTTGCTTTATTGTTTGGTTAAAAAATGCATACTGCCAGGTGCAGATTAGCTCTCATCTTCTCTACTGTTGTCCACGGGAATAAGTTGTGAGTTCAAGGTGGTTGTTAAGAATACCGTGATTTTTTTCAGCAAAATGAAGGGTTAATTGTCAAGTTGAGTTGAACTTATCTGAGTTCAAGCTCGGCTTCTGCTTCAAGTTGGACTCATAAATTTGGTACAATTCCATTGCTGGCCCTTGAACTAAGTCTTTTGGGCGATTAAGTTCCTCTGCAAACTTTCATTTCCCTCAAAGTAACTTTTGTAACATTTAAGCATATAAACCTGGTAGACTGGTGCACTTCTGTCGCGCATTGTAGCCCAAGTCAGTGACTCAGTGTGGCATGGTACATAAAAAATCTTTCCCACCAATAAATAGACTTAACTGTTTATTAAGAACAAAATTCTCATAATAGTCATGTGATATCAAATAAATGGGTGTATGTTAATTCAAGTATTTTACTTGAATACTCAATAAAAACTACATCGACATCAAAAGAATTTGTCAATAAACTCAAAATAATAAGCAAGTATCAATTTATGCCAGTGCATCTATAAATATATCATAGATACGGATAATGTAGATTATTGATCATATATACGAATAATTGAAAACTGTTTTTTAGAACAAATTGTATATAGTTTTTTTTTGTAAAATTAATTAAATATCTCTAAAAATAATATAAAAACAAAAATAATGATATTTAAGTAATTTTATAGTACAAATTACATACAATTTATCATATAAAACAATTTTTTCTATGAATAATCTAAATTAATAATATTAAGAAATTAAGACTTAAATTATATTTGAAATTATTGTATACTGTCGTTAAAACAATTGGAAGAGTAATATATATATATATATATATATATCCAAAGGTAGTACAGAAATTATAGATTTTTGAATGTGTTTGTGGGATTGTTTTTATATTTTGAACATAAAAAATTATTCCTAGTGTTAACGGGTTTTCAGAAAGGAAATCCTGAACACCATCGAACTAGAAAAAAAACACAAAAGCTGTGCTACTATGGGAGAAAGTACTTACTATAATCAAATCCTAACAGAACTAGTATTTCATATTATTCAAATCCCGTTAGAAATTAACGAGAAAACCCTTTTCTAACACCACCAGGACTGGAAATTCAATCACTCTCTTCTATTTATTTCGACGTGATGATTCCACATTCCCCTGATCCATCCTCATTCCTCTAAACCAGAAAATTGTTTGCTTTTTCAAGATGATGAGTACGGAGGACCTGATTTCCTACGTAATGATATTCAACAAGTTAAAGCTTGAAGATGATAGGTTGTGCAAAGCCATTCAGGTGCTTACGAAGGATGAAGAATTCGACTTCGAAATCTTGGAGCTGATGAGGTCGGTTGCCCACGGCCGACTCCCTAAAGAGACGCTGATTCAGGCCTATGAAGAATTCAGGAAACGAGAAAATCTCAACGTATCAAAGGAGTGGGAAAATCCCCGTGAACAGCAAGTTAAGAATCCTGAGCGGAAAAATCCACCTGGATTTGGCGGGAAATTGATGAGGGCGGTGGGCGGCGACGATCAGGCTATTGGGAAGTCCAAGAAACAGGAAAATCTTAACATATCAAAGGGCTGTCAAAAATCCCATGAACAGAAAGTGAAGAATGATATAGGGAAACGTCCACTTGAATTTGGCTGGGATTTAATGAGGGCGGCGCCTGGCGACGATCAGGCGAGTAGGAAGTCTCTGAAACAAGAAAAGCTTAACATATCCAAGGGCTGTCAAAAATTCCATGAACAGGAAGTGAAAAATACTAAAGGGAAACATCCAGTTGAATTTGGCGGGGATTTGATCATGATGAGGGCGGTGGCCGGTGACAAAGAACTCCCTGAAGAAAGCCTAAGTCAGGCCACTGCAAAGTACCTCCAGGGACAAGAAAAGCTAAAGATGTCAATAGGCTGTAAAAGAAGATTTTATGAACACGGAAGTTCGTCGGGATTAAAGGATCAAAAGAAAGTGAAGAAAGCTAGATATGAACTTCCGCTTGAAGAATTTAAAAACCAGGTATTGCCCGTTGAGATGATGAACAAAATCAGGGAATTAGGAGGGTACGATCAGAAGCTGGTGGCAACCAAAACTCTGTTATATTCTGACATTAATAATGGTCAGAACAGGTTTCTGATTCCGCGGAAGCATAGCAATAACGTAGACTTTCTGACAACGGATGAGAAATTGAGACTGGCATTATACAGGGAGACTAAAGAGGAAGAGAATGACATGCTGGTGTTGCTGGTGGAACCATCTCTTGAGGAATACCACATATGTTTGAGGGAATGGTTGAATGGCACCGGAAGCAACTATTTGTTAACGAGCGGCTGCAAGTGGTCGACGGTGGTGCGTAGGAATGATTTGCGCGTAAATGACATTGTACAGTTATGGTCGTTCCGACGCTGCTCAGAACTCTGTTTTGCCCTTGTAATTGTTGACAGGGGAAGTTGAAGATCCAAACAATTGACCTCTCTTTCTTTCCTGTTTTGTTTGTGGTGAACTCTTATCAACTCTTTTCCTTGATGCATTCTTGATGTGGATCAGTTAAATTTTGATGAATGTTGAATGATATATATTTTTAAAAATTTTTTCTTTCAATTATATAATATGACACCGAGCCCTTCGGTTAAGTAGCAATAGCCACTCATGGTGCATTCCCCCCTCCCCTAGGGCTGGGGTTCGAACCCAGCCACTTGTAAAATCTGTTCAAAAAAAAATTATACAATATGACATAGTTATCTCTTCTCGAACCTTATGTATTTGTCTTGGAAGAGAATACATCCAATTTGAAACCAATCAATGAATGTTTATTATGGCTAAATATTCTGTTACCAGGACAAATGGTAAGCTATATGGCAGGAATAATCCTCCAATTTTTCAACTTCCCTTACTTTACAAAATGGAACTCATTCTCGATGATACATTTATGTAAAATAACTGCATTACTAGTATTTTATCTTTTAATGAACAATGTAACATGGTCCCTAAATTTTCACTAGCAGCAATCGAGTCCTGTAACTTTCAAAACCGATTCAACCAAGTCATTCTGGCTTCCATTTGTAATTAGTAAACAAAGGACCCTGAATCAGAAACAAAAATTTAACTCAAGAATTTTCACTGCATATGTAAATCATAAAACCCAGTTTAACAAGCAGCAGCTAAAAAGTGATAAGTGAACAAAAAGAAATTATACAAATGCTCTATCCTTCCTGTGATAATCTAGTGCAAAATATAAACTGTGAGCCCTGACTCACGTTCAAAATGAATAATCCTTCAAGTCTGCTTTTGAGTCATCCACTTCCATGTCAGCTAAGCATTCCTCTGCTGTCAGAGGAGGAAGTTGCCTTGTCTTGCGCTTTAAATTATGCTTGTGCCAATCACTCTTGAAATGTTCCCTATATTGCTTGGAATCACCAACAAATGCATTGCAAGTGCTGCACTTGTTTTGCTTTACCTCTCCCTCAGTGTTCCCATTTCCTGAGGAGATAGTTTGTTTCTTCATTTTCTCAGTTAGTTGGAGCACTGAGTCAGATTCTTTTGGTAATTGAGATTGCATAAAATCAGCAGTGTCCTTGGGTAAATGTGATGGAACAGAAACAGCAGATTCCTTGGGTTGATGTGATGGCACATCATCATGATCGTCATAATTGTCAACATGGGTATCCCCCTCTGCATGCACTGACACTGCAAGTATTTCCAACCTGCCTTGCATATTCCTCACATAGGAATCACAATCCCGGAAAAATCCAGGATCCATTTCACAAATCTGTGCAAAATCAAACAGGAAAATGAACTCCTGTGAAGAAAAATAAAGCTGAAAAACTAAACTAGCACTTCAAGACACATTAGGTACAATCTGTATGGAGAAAAGTGATTTGAGGTAAATTCTAAATGGAGAGGATTTCTTGTATGTTTTTCACATCAAATAGCCAAACATAAGATCTCTTGTAAAAGCAACTCTTCAGTGACTACAGAACTATCTCAAAGGTTTAATAAAGAAAGAAATAAACACAATCTACAATAATGTATTGACAATGGTGCATAGCCTAAGTTAAAATTCATGGGGAAAAGTTAGCAATGCTAGGACATTGCATGCCAGAACCAGTCAACCGCAAAAGATTGAGAAGATTGCTAACTAGGTGACAAGGTTTAATATTTATAAATGCATTTATGTCTTCCATTCCTTTGCTTCACCATGCTTAGATTCCAGCAGTAAAAACCATCATAAAACTTTAATAGAAATAAAAGTTGAATGCCACACTAAGAAATTGTGTCTAAGTTAGGTTTTGATATATTTGTGCCATCACACTTTCACATAACTTGCAATGGATGAAGGCTGTCCAACTATCAAGTTGAATGGAGGATGCTTAGCTTTATATTTTAGCATGTGCCATGCTAAATTTGATAATGACCAAAACAATTGCGAAAGCATGATGATTTTGGAATAGGGGACTTAGTGCAAAAGACTTGTTAGCCAAAAGAAACTGGTCGACACTTACTACTGATAGCTGACTTCCAGAAACATCCTTTGAAACAATGGTGGAACTCCAAGAGCTCAATTTCTCAGAAAGAGAAGAAAAGTTTTGTTCAGGGGCAGTGAGTCGCAATCTCATGGGTGACCGTTTTATAGGGAAGTGCTTTTGTAGCTCATGGATGACTTCTAGTGCCTGCACAAGACCTGCCATTAGCTTGGAAAGTAACAAATAAAGCCCAGTGCTGAAGTATTATCGAGTAAGATAACATCAATCAAATATTTGTACTCTAGTTATATAAACTCAAAACATGGTAATACTATATATAGTACATTGTATATCAGATAGCACTTTCTGCATTTACATAATAGACGTGGTTTTGGCTAAATGCTCTGTTACTTAAGCTTGGTATCAACGCTGGATGTTAATACATGTTTAACATGGATTCAATCAATCATGATAATTTTTTTTTAATATATTTTGAAGGATTGTCGCTCATTCCCATTTTTCTTTTTTTTTTTTGTGCAATTTCCGTCCAACTCAGAGTAACATAGCTTACATTGTATCATGAGTTAGCCAGGAAAAGAAAGTGATTGAACCACTAAAAAGCTCCTGCTATGTTGGCATTGGCAAAGGATGCATTCAATTATACAACAAGTTAACACCATCAAAATAGAAAATTGTACTGAATATCTTAACAGCCTAACAAAATAGAAAGTTGTAATGAATCTCAAGAAGGAGCATGACAGTCAGCACATAACACAGACCTGCTTCTTTGAGCTACTATGGGGGTCAACAGCAAAATGAATTTCATGCATCAACCGCTCGATCATGCTGATAGTGTAAGGACGTTGGGTTTCAGTATTAATGGTCTTCTGCATAACAATGGTGGCAATATCCCGAAACTGACTGGATAACTGAGATTCCCTCTCCTTCCCTGCAACTTGAAGCTCTCCTTTCTCCAATATCTACCATCAACAAATTACCACTTCAAACTATGCTTCCCTAAAACAAATTAAAAAACATAATACCGACAATCGAATTTCACTGACCTCCAGACATATTTTTGCCTGATCATCCGTCCCAAACGCAGCCACCAAATCTTTCGTCTTCGCTAGAATCCCTTTCGATACATTTGAGTACACGGTCTGCGACTGCAAGACTTCGTCCAAATCCTTCTCTCTGTTTCAAAATTTACAACATCATCGACATCCAACAAGAAAGAATAAGATTCCATAAACTACTTTCAGGATTTCGAGATGAAATTCTCTGTTGAAAAGAGGAGAAGAAGGGAGCTTACACGCGAGAACGCCATGAGAGGACCTTGTTCTTGTAGCAGGCGATCTCGAAGCGCATTCCGTGGTTCTTCAGACGGACAACGGCGACGTTCGTCAGCCTCTTTTGCCCCACCGGTTGCACCAGCGTTTTCGACATCTTCGCTTCTTCCCCAACCGACCGTGTCTCCGATTCCTCCACGCCTCTTCCTTACGCTTTAACTAAAACCCGGTGTTGTTTTTGCTTGGGCCGGCAGCGAGTGAAATAACCCAGTTAGGCTTTGGCCCAAAGCAACATCTTTTCCTTAATTGTTTTTTAGTCCTCAACCGTAAGGACGACGTTGCGATTTATTTAAAATTCAAGGACTAAAAACATATTCTGCCCCTTTATAAAGGTTCGACCTTTATGAAGTACTATCTTCTTCCTCCTGCGTGCCCTCCCTATTTCTGTGTAGCAAAAAACCAGAGAGAAAACTGAAAATTTCCCTCTTTTTCTCAGTTTTTCTTCTTCTTCTTTTTTTTTTTTTTTTTTTTTTTTTTGGCATTGGAAAAAATTCAAGGAAGAGAAAATGTCATCTTCAAAAGATGGGAATGAATGTACTTCTTCGGAGGAGGGTAATACGAGCAACAACAGCAGGGCCTCCAATTTCTATGACATCTATGGACCTCAAGTAATCTTCTTCTCTTTTTGATTTTCTTCTATTTTCAGCTTTGTTGTTGTTCTCAGGTTATTTATTTATTCATTCTTTCTTGTTTGTTAAAAGATGTTGAACTTTAGTTTATGTTATTGATTTCTGGGTTTTGATACAAGTTTCTCTAATGGATTATTGGGTGCAGGCAAAAGCAGAACTTGTTTTCAAGGTGCCAGAGGCTAACAGCACTTTGAATTTGCAAGTAAGGTTCTGGGTAAAGTTGTGTCCTTTATCTTAATCCGCAACTGGAAAATAGGTTAATATTTGAATTGTTTATTGTGATTCAGGATGTTCAAGGACTTGTTACTTGGGTGCTTGCAGAAGGATTTATGCCATCATGGGTTTTTATTAAGGTAATGAATATATTTTATTCTTCAAGTTGATTCTATAGACACCCTTCTGTCTTGTGCATTAGCGAATGAGATTAATGCGGGTTGGTTTTAACCTTCTGCCTGAGGGAGGAAATCACTATCTGCATCAAGATTCTCTGGGATTTGCAGCTTAAGAGTGAACATTTGTTTTCTATTTGGATGGTTTCATTCAGTTATATTTTTCTTTTGGTATTCTTTTGAATGGTGTTTGTGGAGGAAAATGTTAGATTAACGGAGTTCACTGAAATGCTTTTTGTATGGTCTGCAGAACAAGCCTCTGATTCCAAAAGTTGTCATGCTTTATGTCCCTGGCCTAGATGCAGCCTTGTACTTAGCTCAATCAAAGACGCTTTCTGGTTTAAAAGAATTCTGTGGCAATCCACAGGCACTTTTGGCTCTTAGGTTGGTAATGATTTTGCCTCATTCTATTCTTGAAGCAAACAATAGAGAATATGATTACTAGTGTTTTTCTTGTGTGCTGTTTGTGATTTATATTGTTTTTTTCTAGCTGTGTATCGGATGGGATGCAAACAATAGACTCACTCCTAACTTGCAAGCTAAAGAGAAAGAGAGATGCAGTTGATCCGGTGGGGAAGTCAAGCCAGACACCTGAACAAGGTTCTTGAGTTGTTTTCAACAATTGGTTTTCTGAACATGTTCTTATTCCTTTTAATTTTTTTATTTTTATGGTTGAACATCTTCCACTTTGATGCTTAGTCGCATGTGTTTCTTACTTTTCTTATGGAATTAAATGCTCTACAGGTAAGTTTTTAAGTAGATGCTAGTGCATCTTTTGTGATTAGAAAGATAGCATATGACACCTAAAACTTGATCCTACAAATTAATCTGGCTGTCTTAAGGAGTTTGCACGAGACAAATAGGTATTCAAGTGATTGCATGCTTGTTGATAGGGTTATTCTTGATTCTTTATTACTCACACCAGTATATGAAAAGCAGTGCTCTTTGGGCAATAGTGCGAAGAGTGGGTTGGGTGAATATAAAATGCCAACTGAGCAATTCATATTGATAGATTACTATATGTAAGATAAGGGATCCATTAAAATAAATATTGACTGATGCATCTACTTGGTAAGAAGAAAAATTGTTTGCACACACACATATGCATCGGAGGACCAGATTCTGTTTAACCATGGAGATAACTTAAACTTTCTGGCAAAGCTTATGTTTGAGTCAAGTAGGTCTTCCAACCTTTTTTTAATAAATATCATAATTTGTGTTCTCGATTGTGATTATAATCTTTCTTTTGATATATGTCTAGTTGTTTAGAAAAGTGGTATATGTAAAAGATTAGACATTTGCTATAGTTTTATTCTTCTTCTACTTTAGGCTGCTTATCAACAACAATTTGTCTCTCAGCTGTAATAAATTTTACATGAAGGGTTTTGCAATTATTTTTTGCCTTTTTATAAACCTATGCAGTAACTCTTTTTCTATGTACCGTGGTGCTATTTAGTTTCTATCAAATCCATGATATTTCGATGTGAAGCAAAAGAATATAATGACATATTTCAGTGGTCTTTTACCAATTTCACATGTCATGATATCATGGTGGTGTCTTTGCAGAAAGTTCTACTTCCACTATGGATAAACCATCTTCTTTAAAAGAATTAGGAGACCTGCCTTTTCCCATTAGATATTACACACTCACAGAGAAAGAACTGGAAGACAATGGATATTTTCTCAATCAACCCGGTCAGTAAGATCTCCAATGTTTGTAGTCAACTTTTTTCCCCCTTGCAAAAGGATCTCATTTAATTCATGGTTTAACTGTACTTACAATTTCCGTATCCTTTAAATTGATCTTTTGCAGGTTTTCTTTCTACCCTTACCGCTCCAACAGGATCATTTTATTATGAAATGTTGGCACTTGACTGTGAGATGGTGGGTGCTCTTTGTCCATCACAACATTAAAAATGTTTTCTGCTGAGCCTTAAGTATTTAAGGGAGGGGGATGGTGTATTGTTATCATTGGAGGGGCTAATATGAACAAAAATGAATGAAAAAATTTATGTAAACATGATGTTTCCAAAGAGAAAGGGTACACTTTTCCAAATTGGATTGGAGTGCTAAACCAGATATCTAGGCATGTCAATAGGAGCAACATGTATGCTATCTGTATACTTGAAATAGATTGGTTTTTGTGCTTCAAAAATCCTAACCTGTATGCTATAGTTTGTAATACTTGCAGGGCATTCTTTTCTTCCCTAGAAACATGCAATTTTTATCTTGTTTTCTATCACAATAATAGTTTGCATATGACAGAGAGTTTTTCTGTATACTTGTCTTATCATGGACAATTTTTTTTTTCTTCTTTTTTCCCTGCTTTCTTGGGCCAGTGTATAACAAGTGAGGGTTCTGAGCTCACAAGGGTGACCCTGGTGGATATTAAAGGACAGGTACAATAAATTGAGTTCTTTCCTCTTCCATACATTATATTATTTATATGTATGTATGAATGTATGTATCATTTCAGTTTGTATTTAATAAACTGGAGTGTATATTATGGTTTGTTAGGCAAATATGTACATAATTTCTTCTGACAATTTTGCTAGTGATCTGTGCTTGGCATTTAACTCATAAAAATATTCATGGAAATACACTTTATTGTAGCAGTTTTTATTTGTTGCAAAAGGATTTTTAAGTGTCATTTATTATGTCATACTGGTCTTCTGGTTTTGAAAAAAAAAAATATTATTGACGTTTGTTATATCTTGGTTATGTTTAGTTGCATACTTATGACTTGTCCTCCTTTTTCCTCAACTAATCGTTTTCACTTTTAACAGGTTGTATTAGATAAGTTGGTTAAACCATCAAACACCATCACTGATTACAACACACGGTAAATCTTGTATTAGTAAAATTCTTTTAGTGTTTAACATCATGTACTTAGCCTAAGAGAAAACAATCCTTTTTTGTGTTTTTTCTTTATATTGTGTGAGTATTTGGCATGGGAAATGGTTAGTAACTTATTATCTTTGATCAATCATATGTTAGATATAAAATGTCTTCTATTTCTTTCTCTCTTAAGAAATTTCGTTTTTTAATTTAATAGATTATTGATAGTCCTTATGTATTAATCAGGTTTAGTGGAATCACATGTGAGATGTTGAGTGGAGTGACTACAAGTCTTCAAGAGATTCAGGTTTACTACATGCCTTTGAATCCCCATTTCATTTTATTCTCTTCAAAGTTATAGAAGTACCATATTTAAAATGCTTTCTAATCAATGGCTTGATATGCTGTTGTAATACTCCTATCTGAATTATTTCCAGTTGATTCACATATTCAGGAAGATTTTCTGAAGCTGGTTTATAAAGAGACAATCCTAGTTGGGCATTCATTGGAGAATGACTTGTTAGCTTTGAAGATTTGTCATGATTTGGTTATTGACACTGCTGTATTGTACAAGCATCCCCGTGGTGGATCATATAAGACTGCTCTTCGGGTTCTTACCAAGAGATTCCTTTCTAGAGAGATACAGCAGTCAGGAACTGGACATGACAGTATTGAAGATGCAAGAGCTGCTATGGAACTGGCACTGTTAAAAATTAGAAATGGCAAGTGATACTTTTATTTGCATTCATGTTTGTGCCATGTCTCAATTCTAATGGAAATCTGGAGTCTGGATGTAGAAACTTTGATTTTGTCTTTATATATTAATATGGTTCTTTTACCATAAGTACACTTCGATTGCATCCCTCTTTTGTAATGATGTGGAAAATATAGTCTGTATGCTGTGCATGCTAATAAGATGAGAGACATATATATGGTTATCTAGTGATTTTTTCAGCATAGAAATTTATTTATTTATTTATCAGCAGCACATAAATTTACTGATGAATGCTTGCATGTGATTTAACTTCTTGCAGGACCTGATTTTGGTTCACCTCCATCGTTTATGCGTAGAAAGCTCCTTTCGGTTTTGGGTGAATGTGGCAAAACCTCCTCTTTCATTGATGAAATTTCCATAGTGAAGCGATATTCTTCTGAGTCATCCCATGCAATTCCAGTGTCCTCTGATGAGGAAGCTCTGTCAAAGGCTAGGAAGGAGGTAGAGTGCTTAATTGGACGTACAGATTTACCTTTGTTTCTGATCTTCTATAAGTGGTTCTATGTTTTACCAACCTTTTATATTGATTTGTTGTTGTAGGTGAAGAATGATAGGGTACAATTTGTCTGGACTCAGTTTTCAGAATTGAATTCCTACTTCAAGACACAAGCTGGAGATGAAACAAAGTTTAATGTTAAACTTGCAGAGATGATATCATTGCTTACTTGTGATAAGAAACATGCCAACAAGAAAGGTGTAAAACACCGAGTATCATCAGAGCTGAAGGAAATTTTAGCTCGCATTGATGCTAGGGTTCGTAGTCTCCATGCTGCATTGCCAGCTAACTCCATGCTTATAATTTGCACTGGACATGGGGACATAGCCATTGTCCACAGGTTCGTTACCACTACCCATATTCTTCATGTCATGTAACATGGAGACCTGTTTCTTTCGCTGTTTCTTTAGTCTTTTCAACTTTTCATACTAAATTAACTGAAAGAGTTGTATAGCCAGAATCTATATTCTGGGCATTTGGATGTTAGAGGTCATTAATTTTGACTTCATGCTATATGATTGACATTTTTTACCTGGCAACTCTAGTCAACATATTTTAATTTTGTAGTAATTGAGAAAGTTTGACAATTATTAGGGGACTCCATGAGAACTGTGGTCTTCTTCCATGTTATAATGCTGTACCTTTATTTGTTTAGTAACCACCAATAAACTAAAATCGGTATGCCTTTATAGGCCAGCAGACTATGTTCTTATAATTTACTACTGTTAGGGCTGCATAAATTATCCAAAAATGCTTATGTTTTTGCTTAGCCACATTTTAGGTCCATGTCAGATGATTTCTTCAGTAGTCAAAACTTGAAAATAATGCAGAAAGTTCATATGTTTTTGGTTTCTCATATTTTAGACCCACTTTTTTGGTACGGTTGAACCATTCATCTAAGATGCACATTATAATCGCTGCATTGCCTGAATTTTTAGTTCTTTGTAGCAAGTTCAAATGTTCAATATGTAAAGTACTTTGATGTTACATATTTAATCTGTTTTGCCTTCCCTTTTTTTTTTTTTTTCTTCTTCATATGCGTGGATGAAGATTGAGGAAAATGCTAACAGAGCAAAGTGAAACCATGGTTTCTCGAAACAAGCTCGTGAAGGTCTTGGAGGAGTTACAAGCCCAAGCTGAAGTAGCCTTATGTTTTGTCGGTGTGAAACATTGAGATAGACACACATTTTTGCTTATTGCAATCGTTAATGCTCATGTAAAGTATCAAGCTCATACGGATGAATTACAAATATAATGACTGTTGTTCCTTAGATATAGGAAAAACTCAAGACTGGTCTTGCAAACTGCAATGTTAAAGTATTTGGTCAATGATGGATGCCCTTGAATTCAGATATTTAATTTTATCGTTCTAAACATGCAGTGTGAGCACTTATTTTCTTTGCTTGTTCCTGGCAACAAAAAGCTGCTTATTAACCTCTAAATTCCTGGAAATTGGACCTGATGCGCTGATTTTTTAGTGTAGAGAGCATTTATGCAGGTAGAGTGGTGAATTAATCCCGGCACATCATTGGAAGGCCTCTCTGCTGTCTTATATCATATTGAACAAAGAGTCAGCTACACCCTCCCACATAAATTGGGACTGACAACAATGAGGAAAGCTGGGAAGCTATACATATCACAGCAAGACCTCTATGTCCTCTTTATATTGAACAGAGGACATCTATAAAACCCAAGGCAGATTAATATTTTGCTGAAAAAAGGAATTCTTTGAACATGGAGATGTATGTCCAAAACCAGTAGAGATTATTCAAGATTGTTAGATAATTAGCAATGTCTAGTAATTCATGAGATTTTACATCTGTATTAAACAATAAGTCCTAAATTCCAGATAAATAACATACTAACATGCATCCTGATCGATCATCCCACACAAAACTATTGTTACAAGGTACAAACACCGTGCAATACTTAATCATAGGTACCGCAGTACTGTTAACCTAATGATTCTATCTCCATGCTGAGGAAACAATCAAGCTTTTGCCCTCCCAACCAAAATGGAGTGCACCAAATTCCTCCTTCAGTTCGTATCTGTCAGAATACTGCTTTATAAGTTTCTGGATCATATCGATCACATTTGGACTCATAGAACATGATTTGAACCCAGCCATCATCATCCTTGCCCTCCACTTTCCAGCAACCTCATAACGCTCTACTCTTTCCTCCCCTTCGCATGCAACAATGTTAACTATGTCCTTGGCAAGGCACTGCTTCTCAACATTCATCCTGTCCTGACTCTCCCTTGGGAGGGTTGCATCCAAAGACTCAAACACAACGGAGTAGTAATTGTAGGCTGCAATAAATCTAGGGAAAAAGGGAGCTGTATTAGCGTTCACATCTTGTTCTACGACAGTCACAAGTTTTGGATTTAAGTTCTTAACCATCCGCAGAAGCTGATCTCGCTGATTTATTGTTGAAACACTCTCATCAGGCATGTGGTGGAGTAGGAAAGCAAAGTTTACTATAAGTGCTTCACCAGCCCTGCAGTCCAGCATTGATGGATTGACAACTGAAGTCCTCGAAGGCACTGCTTGAAACTCAAATGGTACCCCGAGCATTTGTGCTAGCGTCTCAAGCCTTTGTCCAACAATTTCAAGACCCCCTGTGGCACGTTGAATTGACTCAGGGTCATCAATGCCAGTTAACCTCAGGAAGGGTGGCTTGCTAGACTGTTTAGCAAGTGTTTGTATCAGAGCAATATACTGGTTACCCTGATTGATGTCAAAATCTATTATATGCACTCTCTTTTCATCTTTAAGAGCTTCCATAATTGCTCCATTTGCTGACATGAATCCAAATTTAAAGCAAGGGCAAATCTCAAACAGTATCTGCATGGCTGCAAGCCTATCATCAGAAGGAGGCTCTTTGCACTTGAGAGCTTTGTACAGACTCTTCCCGGATGCAGCCATACGAGCTGCAAGACCTTCCACCATGTAGGCTGCAATTCTTTGAGAGGGATCTCCTTGAATTGAGACTTTCTGTCGGAGATCATTTATTATGGTCGATGCTTCCTCAATATTTCCTTCTGACAATGCAGCAGCACAATCAATAAGCAATTCCTTAGGGGTTCGAGGTGATGCATGTGATACTTCTTTGTTGCTGCTAATGCTACTGATGTTAGAATCTGAGGATGTAGACTCCTTGGGTGAATCATGAAGCAATTCTGCCCGTATTGGCTCCGACCATTCACCATCTATTTCCATGCTTAAATCAGCGCCAAACACATCATCCTCATCAACATCATTATCACCAAGCAGTGCTCTCTCTAGTTCTTGAAGCTTCAGTCTCACCATATCATCATTGTAATCTGATGTGTCCAGGCTTTGGTTTTTCAAGTAATCTGATTTAAAATTGGGTTGACACCCATCAGGATGTCTCATTATCTTAAAGGAAGAATTAAGCTTGTTATGACTGTTCAAAGAGAAACCTGAACCACCACTTAACTGGTAATAAGAGCCATCTTGTGAGTTAAACAAATTACCTGATATCCCTGAAGTTGCTGGATGAATTAGCTCTTCCACTGGGGAGTCAAGAAAGTACTTTTCATAGCTTTCATCACAGTAAGAATCGACCAAATATATGGGCTTATGCTTATCAGAACCAAATATTGGAGTGGACAAGCCAGCACTGTCATGGCTACCCTTCAGTGAATAGAGCTTTGGATTTCCATATGTTGCAGCTGATGGCTCTGCAGATCTAACTAAAGACATGGTTTCTATCTTTCTCAGCTTACAAGGTCGATGTTGTATCAAAGAAATAGTCCTGTGTTATGAAATGTCATGTAATCAATATCAAATTTGTAATAGGAGGAAATAAAGGTACTGAGATGTAATGAATTATTTACTATTATTGAAACCATCAAAGAATACAGCTACAAGATATAAACGCACATTTTCCCATTAATCCAAACTGGTAAAAGACTTCAATAACTTACACTAACATACAAGAGTTCACAATAAGTTACCACAGGTATGCAGGGAAACAACATAGAAGAAAACAGGCTGCTCTATGTAAGAATAGAGCACATTAGTCTCCTACTTAAATTTCAAATGCACAGGAATTTAGAATCATTTAATCAATTTAGGAAGCCAAGGGGAAGCCCATGCATGACGGAGCTAGTGAGTAAAGCAAAGCAATCTTCCAGGTCTAAACATGGAGGCAAAAACCATTCACCCCTTCGCAATTAACAGGCGTAGGATGTCATAGACGATCGAGAAGTTCAGGCAAAACAGAAATAAATGGTTAACCAAGCATTCACCTCATTTATCATAGACAAGACAGAAGCTGAAAACAACCAGGTTGTTCAAGGTACAGTACACATTTCATTAAAGCGTTAGTCAAGGCAAAATGATCCCTCTCCAAAACTTATTGCACCGTGCTAAATCAAGAAGATGATCAGAACCATAAATCAATTAAATTTCACAACCAAATTCACAGGTCTATATTAAATTTGACTTTGTTAAAAACTATATATATTTATATTTATATTTATATAACACAAGATTGTGTTTTATCACTACTGGAGACATCTTTCAATTCTGTATAACACAACAATCAAAGACATCAAGGAGATCGAGGAGACGAGATTCAAGAAAAAAGCAGATAAAAACAATCAGGAACATAAAATTGCCAAAGATCAAAACTAATCTATAACAAGAACAGAAATGGATGAAAACAATCAGAACAAAATTCCTGTCTACCTGAAACATGAAAAGGGTCTCAATAGAAAGAAAGAGGCAGATATGGTTTTCTAAAAATCAAGTCTTTGAAAATTCAGCAGATACCCAGATGGAATTCAGCCTCACAACAGGCTTTGAATATAAGAAACAGAGGCTTTGACCTTTTGCAGGAGCAATCAATGAGGTTCCCAAAAGCAAATATGCCTTCTTTATGGTATCCTTTATATTAGAAAATGTCTTTTTTGAGGAAATATTAGAAAATGTCTTTAGATTGTCAAGTTAGGTATGTTTGAAAATCGAAAGCTACAAATTAAATAACAAACCACACCAAACCAGGAAATAATTAAATAGTATTGAAAAAATTACGAGTTGGGTTGGGAGAATTTCAGCTACCCAATTCAAGAATTTGAACAGATGAAAATTCCTCTGACCTAATTGCAAAAAAGAAAACCTTTGTCTTCTGGAATCTTAGAAAACACACAAAGGAAAATAGTGAGAAACTCACCCCAATTTTTTTCTTTTCCTTTGAGATAAGCCTCTATCCAATTTCTGCTTTTAATTCCTTCTCTTCCTTGATTTGGGTTTCATTGTCCAAGTCTTCATTTTTATACCAACTTCTCTGACAAAAGAAAGTTGTTAACAGAATAGTGCCATGCTTCTGTGGCGTGGTCCAAGGGTGCCATTATGGTTGTGTCACTCAATCTTGACCGTTCATCAAAGGGACCAGAAGCTGCATCCTTTCATATGATGGCAACCTTGCCCCTTTTGACAACAGCATCAGGGTGGAATTTGGAAAGCAATGAACCATTGAGACAACTGTACGGTGATAAGTGGAAAATGGTTAAAGTTTCCAACGTGGTGAGTGACGTTATATCTTCATCAGCATGATTGAAGGGAACCTTCATGGAATCATCGGACGTGATTTTTACTATACATTAATATGTTAAACATGACACAAAGTTATTAATATTATTTGCAAAAATATAAGTTTTTTATATTTAATTATTATAAATAATTGATACCTATTACATAATACATTCACAATCTTTAAATTTTAGAAATCTTATCGTATATTTAAGTTGAGTGAAAGAAAAAAAAACAAAATTTTTTTTTAATTAATCAAATTATAATATTTAAAAAATAATATAATTTTAATTTAATTAGTTAAAATTTTTATTTTTCCTCCCGTCCACTCTATTCTCATAGACTCAAATATAAGGTGAAACAATATTTAGATAATTGAAAAAAAATCCCGTTTGGTCATTTATGTTAAAAACTTTAACAATATGAGATGCATTATATTTTTTTAGGATATTGGATGATTAGTTGCTTATTATCGTAGCGATTTAAATTATTGAACTTGATTTTAAATTAAAAAATTTAAATTAATAGATATTAATTTAACCAAGCTTTAATTGATTAAGATGTATTATATTTAGGTCATTAAGTTTTCTAGAAGTGATCTAAATGGAAATTTGATGAACGTCAGATTGTCTACGGAAATAGACTTTTGCCTACTTTAATGTTATACTTTAACAGAACTTTTATTTTTATTTTTTGTTTTTAGTGATTTGAATTTTACATTTGAAAAGTTAGGAATATCTAAATGTAAGAAATATAAAAGTGAATGACCTACCATAATTTTAGCCAAATAGATCAAGACCAAGTCAAAGGTTTTCTAGGTTTAAAAAATTCTTCCATTTTCAGACATCATTTTTGTTGATCGAAAAAGAGTCTTCCTTTCGCGTGCAAACAAATTTCAAAAGCGTGTCTGTTTGGACAGGCAGAAAAGTCTTTGGAAAATGATTTCCTCGAGAAAATTAAGGGGTCTAAAAAGTCTGAAACCCTATATGAGCGGTGCTGGGAATGGAGAAGGAATCAAATATGTCGGCAATCAGAAGATAATAAGCTTAGTGGGCAAATTAGCTAGGCATTGAAAATATTGCAAAGGGGAAGTCCTAACTCAGTTTAAATTTGTTTGTTTTTAAGTCCTAATCATTAGTTTCCACTTTCCACTCTTATCCAAAACAAGGCCGTTGGATTTTTCCTCTTGGAGTGAAGTGGAGTAGATAAGAAGGAAGAACATGCATGTAATTATTCAGATTGTGCGTTGAAAATTGGAACCTAAATATCTCTAATCAAATGATGTTACCACTAGACGCAGATTGTGCATATCAATTTCATCCATACATTGTGATTTGTTATTATTATTATTGTTGTTGTTATTGTTGTGAGATTAATCCAACATTAAGGACAAAGTTTAAAAGACATATAGAGTTCAAAAGTATAGGTACAATAATCATGGCACACCCATGTGATTAAAGGGAAATATACCAATGGAGCAATGACATGTGGCAAGATTGTTATAGTTGTGGGCCTATAAATACTCCCAATTATCTTTATATAAGGTAATTACTGCACGATACTTCTCTTTCTATAATAACTTTTTTTGAAAACTTTTCTTTTTGGATTATAAAATATTGATAATTTGAGTGTCAAAATGTCTTTCTTAAGAAAACATCCTCGAGTTTTTAGGTGAGATTTTAGGTGTTAGGGCTGCTTGTGATCTCTACAGTAAGAATTCGTGAAGCGACCCAAACAATTATATTATTATTATTATTATTATTATTTAAATTTAAAGGTCAGTTTTTCATGCACCTCCAGGGTAATCTCTGCAGGTGATTTTAAAGGTGCATCCTTTATATTGATATGGTACATTTAAGAAAATCAATTTCTTTAAGTGTGTTGGCTTTGTTGTGATTTGTTAATCGATTAATACGCGCTTGATAAATGGTACTAATTTCTGTAAAGAATTTCTCATTTTGCAATATAAATTATACCAAATTATAAAGTATAATCATTAAATTACGAACAACCTCCAAAATCAACAAATTCACTACATCCAATGGTTTAAATTCTACCCTCTACTAGGAAACACATTTTGTTATCTAAACTAATGACTATAGAAGTGAAGCCCAACAAACTCATATAGGCCCGGGCCTTCGCTCAGTCTCCTGAAATCTGGTCCACCCCCAAAAGAGTTAAGCAACATTGATTATTCATGGAATCATGGGGGGGTCCTTCTTAAATAAGAAGTCCAACCCATTACTGAATTAATCAAGCCACATATGTCATTTCTCCCTTATCTATCTTACCATCTAGTGCTGTGTTGCTTAATAAAAAATCTAGGCCCCTTTGAGCTTTTCACAATTGGGTCAATAGACAAAATAAAATATGAACCGCCCGGTTAATTAATGTTCAAATTATATAAAAATTAAAATTAAAATAATAAAAAAATATCTTTCAAGTCGACTTGTAAAAAAATATAAAAATATTTGTGAAATTAATTTAATTAATTAAAAATATTTAATTAATTTTATAAACATTCTTGCACTTTTTTCTTGAAGGTTGACTTGAAAATCTACCCTCCAAAAATAATATAATAAAATAAAAAACAAAAAGATCCTGCCCCTTTGCCTTTGGTAAGGTTATTGTTGCCGACTTTTTTTGTTTTTACAGCCAAAATTTGAATGCTTAAAATTAAAAATTAAAAATTATATAAAACTAAAATTAAAAATAGTATAAAAATATTTTTCAAATTGACCTATAAAAGAAAAAGAATGTTTGTGAAATTAATTTAATTAATTAAGAGCATATAATTAATTTTATAAACGTTCTTGCACTTTTTTCTTTGTTTTGAAGACCGACTTGAAAATCTGTAATCCAAAAATAATATAATAAAATCAAAAACAAAATATCCTGCCCCTTTGCCTTTGGTAAGGTTATTGTTGCCGATTTTTTTGTTTTTACAGCCAAAATTTGAATGCTTAAAATTAACCATTAAAAATTAAAATTAAAAGCAAAATGGACAACTTGTTAAATACATAGATTTTTTTGAACGGACAATTATAGGAGAAAGGGCTCATGGGATGGAAAAGTACCAATGATTCATAAGTTAAAAGCAAATATTCAAATAATTTGTGAGATTTAAATTTCTGGTCAATTCTATTTAAGTACTAAAATTTATGGACAAACTAGTAAATTCCAAAAAGCTAGTTCGTTGAGTACATAATTTACAAACTACTAACCAAATTTATTTTTTTTCTTTAAGTTATTAATTTTTTAAAATTTTAATATAACAATTTGTAATTTTTGGCAACAAAATCGAAAAAATGAAAGTGACAACAGCAACATTATTAAACGGCCTGATTCGGACCAACCATTTTCCATGACACTATCACTATATGTACATTGTTATTGTATATGTTTATATGATATATATTCGATATCAAAGTTAGTCAAGGAAGAAGTGACATTATTACTACACCTTTAATTATTAACATTATAATTTTTTATTTTAATTGATTATATCATTTAATTTATTAAGAAATAAAAAAATTTTAAAAATATATAATGTAAGAGTTTAATAGGTAATTATATTAAAAATGTATGATATTAACCATTTATGGTGGATAATAACCCTAACCTCAAACAAGGGATTCCTCAAGCTAAACATCTTTAGAATTTAATGGAACACATGTTTATATATAAGACAATGATTGGTATACTTTTCGGTTCAACACACCAAATATCACTCATCGATTTAATTATTAAGAAACTAATATTTTCAAATTTAAATTGAAGGTGAGAAAATTTTTAAAAGTAAATTTTAATAACTGAATCGATGAGTGTTGTTAGGTAAGTTGAACTGGAAGTTGTACTAATCATTTTTCTTATATATACACACATTATATACTTGACATAAGTGTCAATCAATTAAACATGATATTCTTAAAGCTGAACATATCTCTGGACTTCAATGGAACATAATTCGCTATGAGAAAATAAGGTTGCAGGACTTTTTATACATGCCAAAAAGGCCGAGAAACTGCACCTCTTCTTGATACCTGTCCAAGGTGATTAAACTGATTTCCTCTTGAAATAGAAGTGAAGAAGATGAAGAAATGGAATATCTTTAACAATAAAGTCAATGCCATATATGTTTGTGACGAACATTAATAATACTAATAACTAGTATTATATAAGTAGATAGTAGTACAAATCATGAATCAACTTGATCAGATCATCACAACAAAGCAACACATGACACCATACATTGTTATTGTATTAATTATATATGTTTGACCTCAAAGAAAGTGATCAAACAAGAGATTCCTCAAGTTGAACATCTTTGGACTTCAATGGAACATGCTTCCCTGACAAATAAGCCTTGAGGTGATTTGACAGTGCCTCATCAACATCTTCATGGTAGTAAGATTTGCAGACAAAGTAGATCACTATTTGGATCACCAAACTGAACAGATTCAACATAGAAAACAACAACAAACAGAGAATTGCATGCAGCAGCATGCTAACTGATCTCCAATGTCCATGCAATACCAGTGTCTGAAATGCTTTTTTTTTTTTTTTGCATAGCAAATATAGTTTATTAAATAGAGTACAAAGGGTACTCCTGCCCATGTTACAAAAATAGGTAAATATTGAGCATCTACTGACTTTATCTAATATCCAACAAGATCAATAATTGCTCAATGCAACCTGTAAATCAACATACAGTGATTCAATCCATCCCGCATATCATAAAGGCCATTTTAGCCAAGTATGGATCAAGCCCCTATTTCCTACCACAGTTAACTTTGAGGCATGTCATTGGATTGTATAACCAATCATAAAGACTAAACAAGCATCTAGATTTCCTTGTTTTAATCCAACAAAACGATTTTAGTTGAATGTGGTCGAGCAACTTACTTTTGTTGACGTCGGAGTCTCAGAATATCTTTTGATTTCTTACGAGCCATATGGTCCACACCACAACGTTCCATATACAATCCCAACCTTCCTTTACGCGTGTTTCTTTGGCTCATACCCCAAACTGCTCAAAAGATTTCCAGCAATCATTTTCCAAATTAACTGAGATTCCCCACAATTTCCCACAAGCCTTCCATAGCCACTTTGCCACCTTGCACTTCAGGAAAAGATGATTCGAGTCGTCGATCTCCTCCTCACATAAAGCGTAGATTCCATCTTCCAAATCAGTGATTATCCCTCTTCTTTGCAGGTTGCTCTTTGTTGGTATTCTATCCTGTAGTAGTTGCCAATTAAAAGCAGAAATTTTGCTTGGGATGATTGGGTTCCACACTCTCTTGTGTATTGGAGCTGCATCCAGTCCATTAAGTTCATTTGTCAATAATTTGTAAGCTGTTTTAGTTGAATAGTTGCCTTCCTTGCTATGCTCCCACTTCCATGTGTCGGGGATGTCCTTATATAACTGCATGCTAACAATCTTTCTTTGTAGTTCTGCTGCTTCTTCTCTTTCCCAGTCGAATAAGGCTCTCCTCCACTCTAGATTCCACCTCCATGTTCCATCTTCCTTGTTGCCTATTTGATAACATTTTTTCTCCTTCCTGTTGACAAATTATACAATCTTGGAAAAAGGTTAGCAAGATCTCCCTCTCCACCCCAATTATCTCTCCAAAAGCTCACTCTTTTCCCTTCTCCTAATTTTAACTTAAATCCCTCTGTTAGCCACCCTTCATTCTCCTCATCGACATTGTTGAGACAGCCCACATCCCTCCACCATAGTGATCCTATTCCCCTCCCCTCCCTTTCCCAGTCAAGCCAATGGCCTCCACTCCCTCCATACTTGCTAGCTATAACCTTATCCCACAATCCCTGTTCTTTTCTTGCTAGCCTTCCTCACCATTTTCCCATTAAGGCTAAGTTGAATTTCCTCATCTCTCTCACTCCTAATCCCTCATATAGTTTATTTTTGCAAACTTTCTCCCATTTAACCCAATTAATTTTTCTACCTTCTCCTTCCCGACCCCATAAAAAACTCTTGCAAATTTTATCAATAAAATGAATAATACCTTTAGGAAGCAGGTAGACTGACATTAAGAACACGGGCAAGCTAAACAACACGGAATTAATGATCGTGATGCGTCCCCCAAAGGATAAATATCGGCCTTTCCATGGAGCTAATTTCTTTTTCACCGATTCCATCAATGGTTGCCACATTGCAATTCTTCTATGATTCCCCCCAATGGGGATCCCCAGATATTTAAAAGGAAGATCTTTTCTTTTGCAGTACAATCTGTATGCCATTTTTCCTACCCAAGCTTCTTCCACATTAACACCCATGAGCTAACTTTTAGCATAATTGATTTTCAATCCTGAAACCAATTCAAAGGATCTCATTATCCATTTGATAGCTCAGATGTTTTCATCAGTTGCCTCCTCGAAAAATATGGTGTCATCTGCAAACTGTAAGTGTGAGACCATAATATCATCATTGCCCACCTTTACTCCTTTATACAGCTACTTTTCAATTGCTGCAGTCACTATCCCATTCAAACCCAAGCAATAATGAGAAATAGAAAAGGTGTTAATGGGTCTCCCTAACATATACCTTTAGTCACCCTGAATTCTCTCGTTGGGCTTCCATTAATCATAATTGATACCGAGCTTGATCTGAGACATTCCTGTATCCATCCTCTCCACATTTCGTAAAAATCCATTCTTAACATCATGTAATCAATGAAGCCCCAGCATACCTTATCGTACGCTTTCTCAAAATCAACTTTAAAAATGAAGGATTTCTTTTTCTTCTTCCTCTTTGCCTCGTCAATCACCTCATTTGCAATCATAGCCCCTTTTGCTAGTTGTTTGCCCCTTAGGAAAGCCATTTGATGCTCCCCAATCACCTTATCAATCACCATCCCCAGTCGGTTTGCAAGCAGCTTAACTAGGATCTTGTACATGACACCAATGAGTGATATGGGTCTGTACTCTTCAATTTTTTGGGGGTTTTCCAATTTGGGGATCAAGACAATGAAAGAAGCATTTGAACCTTTAACTATCTTACAGTGCTCATGAAACTCTTGCACAAACGTCACAACATCTGATTTAATGTCTTCCCACATGACTTTTACAAATTTGAAGTTAAAGCCATCTAGGCCTGGGGACTTTGAAGATTCACATTCCCACACTACTTCCTTGACTTCTTTTTTAGAAAAAGCTGCAGTGAGGATGTCATTGTCTACTTCAGATATCCTCTTGAAATCGATGCCATGTAGCTTTGGTCTCTCCCATTTCTCTTCCGTAAATAACTCCTCAAAGTATTTTGCCACCTCATTCTTTATTTCTGCCACCCCTGTATGCCGGACACCATTGATGCGAATACAAAGTATTTCACTTCTTCTCCATCTTCCTTTCGCAGATCTATGGAAATACTTTGTGTTCGCATCCCCTTCTTTTAACCACATTTTTCTGGATTTTTGTTACCACATGCTTTCTTTGATTTTTAAGTTCTTCCACAACTCTATGAAGCATTTTCTCCTTTGATCAATGTCCTGTGTTGAGACTTGACAGTTCTCTCCTCTTTCATCTATTGTGGCAATCCCTTTTTCAGCTTCCATTATCTTACTATCCACTTCTGGTATGGACTTTCTACTCCACTCCTTCAGCTCTTTCTTTGTTCTCTTCAGCTTCTCCTTCAGTTTGTACCCATTCCATCCCCTAACTATGGTAAACTTCCACGCTTCCCTAATAATCTTCTTGCACTCTGGTTGATCAAGCCAAGCATAAAAAAATTTGAATGACTTTGGTCACCAATCCATATTCTCATTTTTCAGTAAAATGGGACAATGATCCGATACGGTTCTGTTAAGTCCCCATTGTTTCACATCACACCACTTCAAAATCCACTCCTTTGTCAACAAAAATCTATCAATTCTGCTCATGTATTTCCCATTGGAATTATACCACGTATACCTCCTTCCCACCAAAGGTAAATCAATAAGCCTTGTATTATATATAAAATCATCAAATTCCTTCATTTCTCTGGTAACTTTCCTACTTCCTACTCTTTCTTCTATTTTTCTCACTGCATTAAAGTCTCCTGCTAAACACCACTTACCCTCCTATTGGTGATTACCTTCTGTAAGTCCTCCCATAATGCCCTTTTACCTGCCAACTAACATGGAGAATATATATTGATTATGTACACCTCAGTGTCATCCTTTCCCCATAACCCGTATACCCCCAAATAATTATCCCCCTCTATCACTTCATTTTTTCTAAACACTTTTGAGCTCCATACACAGAGCAAGGCTCCTGAAAATCCATTAGATGCCTTCGCTAGCTAGTCAAAATCATCCGTCCACCATAACATTCTACAGAAACTCATATCTACATTCACCAATTTAGTCTCCTGAATTGCCAAAAATTTTATTTTTTCTTTCATAATTAAGTCTCTAATTTGTCTTTTTTTCCCAACCCCTCCAAGCCCTCTAGAGTTAAGGGACAATAGATTCATTGAAATTCTTTTTTACCTTCTTCGTGCTAGTTACCTCTGGCTGCATCATGCTTGCTTTCTCCTCTTTATCTCTTTTCTCCATTTCTTCAATTCTTTTGTTAATTTGCTGTTCATTCTCTGCCACTACCCTTAGCTTCTTTGCAAACTCCCATATGTCTGCCGGTAGTTGATCTTGTCTCTACGTCTTCGCTATTCTATTGAAATTCTTGATATCTGTATCTCCAATTGAATCCCCAGCTGCTCTACTACCGGAATTTGTGTTGATCGCTGGTGTTGCCTTTTTCCCCATCTCATTTGTCCGCTTCCTTCCTCGGTGCTTCCCTCTTTGTTCTTCCACACCAGCAAGTGGTTTTACATGATCGTTGGAGTATATTGATCTACATGAGCGAGTCTTCTTTTTTTCCTTCTTCCCCTTCTGGTTCAGATCTGTCCGTCGACCTGTCCGTCGACCTATCCACTCCTTCAGTCGACCCTGCTCACTTTCAAACCCTTTCCAGAACGGGTCAATATCTTCCTCTTCTGTAACTTCATGCTCTGTTTCTTCATTTCTAGAATTTTTGTTTCTGTTGGGTCCTATTGGGCTTGTCAAAGACTGGGCCAAGCCCAAGGCAGCTGCTTTCTCATCCACACTTCTTGTTTGTGTCGGTATGGGCCCATTTCTTATCCTCTTTTTATTCTGCTTTTCCAGGCCCATTTCTACCACCTCTTTTTCCTAGTTTTCTATTGAATTTGCCCATTCCCCATGCACTATCAGTGTTGTCCGTTCCCCATGCCCCTGCGTCTCTTTCAACCGGCCTACTTTACCTACTCCTGTGTTTGAATTTTGAAAATTTTCCAAATTGTCTACAGCCACTTCCTCTTCTTGTGATTGATGCTTTTTTTCCATTTATACCCCTTTCACCCGCCACCTCATCATCTTCCTCCTCTGCATCTGAATTGTGTTCTGGGGCCAACTCTTTGATTTTTCTAAATCCATTTTCCATGCTGTCTTTGTCTGTGTCCCATGACCAGGACTCATTTTCCTCCGACCCACTGTGGAATGATGGCAAGAAATCTTGCTTTAAAGAGAAGAAATTGTTGGTAAATTCTTCCTCTTTAAACTTAACATTGTAAATGACGCCATTAATTTTAATTTGGCGTGTGACTGAAATTGAATCCATAATGTGGGTTGAGATCAAGAGTTTGGCTACATCAAATATTCTTTTGTTGCTTGTTCTGTCATCTAAGCAGATGAATTTCCCCCAAGTGCATCCCATTTTTTCAAAGAAATCACTCGTCCAAGCATCTAGGGGTGCCCCATGACACTTGATCCACACGAACCTTTCCTGAACAACCAATTCTGGTGTCCACGGTTTGACTTCTTTAAACCATTGTCCAAGCCAATTAGCAGCCATTTCTACCAGATCCTTTAGCTCTTCTTTTTCATCACAATCCAACAAAACCATGTTGCCCCCTATTGCACGAACTCTACAATAGAAAAACCCCTCCATATAAAATTTCTCTTGCAAATTTCTGACCATTTCTGTTGAGTGGACTGTCCCCATGTAGTAACCCTCAAGCCATGCAAATTCTTCTTCTTTAATATTGTATTCCATTCTAGTTCAGCTTGCTCCCTTTCCTTTCTCTTTCCATACTTTTCTATTATCTACTATTCCAAGACCTTTTCTTTTCCTGTTCTCACTTCTTTCCAGCGGCTTTATTCTGCATTGCCCCTATGCTCACTCCTTCCACATTTCCAGCTCCATTTCCTCTTAGTACCTCCGCATAGCTCCTGCTCTGATATTTTGGTATTAATCCTTGCCCTTTTCCCTCCTTCTTTTCTTCCTTCTTCACATCATCGTATCTTGGAGAGTTGACCCATAGCTTCCAATCACCAATCCATATCTGATCAAGCTGTCTCTCCAGTTCTCTTTTGTCATGCACATTGAGAAACCTAACAAAACCAAACCTTGCCCCACTCTTGCTTTTCTTGTTTGGACTGTATATATCATATACCCATCCAAATTTTAGAAATGTTCTCCACATATCTGAATAGCTCCACTCTTCAGGAAAATTTGTGAAGAAATAAGGGATGGCTTGTTTATACAGCCCCTTATCATAAAATCCCCACTTCTGCGTCCTGCTGTTCTTTTGATGCCCTTGTTCCCCTTGTTTCTAATTGGTTGAATCTTGACCTCTCCATAGGCTTCCTCCTCTGGATGATGCATCCTTCCGATTCCATGTTGTCCGTGTTGCCTGTGTTCTCCGTCTGCCTCCTGCTCCTCTCTTTCTCTCTCTACCTCTCTCTCTCATTTTTTTTTTTTTTTATATTCCGTGTCTGAAATGCTAATTGAATGAAAGAACATAAGAGAGTGAACGTGAAATATATTACCATGGTGATAAGAATCTTCCCTCTCATCAACGTCCTGCTCTTCACCATGGCTTGTGCACCGTATGACTCTTCCAATATTGATACCACGTTAGCCAAGTTCCAGATTGTGCTCAGGTAGATCAATCCAACAAGGTATAGGATCAAAGAGACCAGAATGATCAGTAGACAAATCACGTTGGTGGCCCCTAGGAAAGAGGCAATGGAAACAATAACTAGACCTGCTACTGTGCTGTATGCAACTATGGTGCCAAAGAGATAGGGGGAGGTTATCATCAACCACTTCCAGACCATTGGGATCACGTTCACTGCCTTCATAAAGGTAACATCACGTGCAGTGTAGATGCAGGCAATGGTGCCAACGACTGTAACAGAGGAGAGGAGCGAAAGGATGTAGAAGAAAGTGAGAATAATTGTATCTAAGAGGATGAAGTAGGTCCATTCGGAGGAGACAAGGTCAAAAGGCTTGTGGTTGTGAGATGTGCTAACTTCAGTACAGTCAAGGGCCTCGAGGCTTAACCAGATCTTCTTGTTGAGGAGGTCGTAGACTTTCAAGCGAGCGAGATAAATGAAGGAGAGAGGGAGGATAAGGGCTAGGGTGATCTTGGTGAAGATCTTCCAGTATGAGAAGATAAGCTTGCAGGATTCCTTGTAGATGCCCAAGAGCCCAAGAGACTGCATGTTTTCTTGATCACTGTCCATGGTGATTAAAACAGGATTTTCCTCTTGGAATAGAATTAGAGAAAGAAGATGAATAAATGGAATTAAATATCGAGGTTGC